GGAACCAGCACTTGGGTGGGGAGGGCTGGCTGGGTCTGAGTTTCTCCTCCTCCTGCTGCCCTAGGAGTGCAGCCCTGGCGGGCCCAGCAGTGTCTGGCCGGCTGCACCTGGCCGGCGGTGGTTTCAGCGAAGGGACTCACACCCATTCTAGGCCCTAGTTCCTGGTCAGCTTTTGCCAGAAACAGAGGCTGGGCTTTGGAGGGTCGGTGTGAGTGCCTTGGCTGAAACTGGTCCCTGCCACTCTGGCCAGCGTGACAAGGTGAGGCTCTAACGCTACCACTCTCTGCGTCCCTTTCTAGGCTTTTCTGGTTTTGCCTGCCCAGCTGCTTCAAGCCAGACTGGAGGAGGAGGAGGAGGAATCATGTGTGGTACACCTAGAGCCTGCGTATGGCGTGACTCTGCAGCTCGTCTCATGCAATTGGTGGTGGTGACTGGAGACTGCAGCTCGACTGGAGTGGTAGGAAGGTGCCTGCGGGGGCAAGGTGGTAGGAACTTTGTAGGGTGGGCTGCTGCATTGAGGGCGGGGTGCTGCATTGAGGGCAACAGCAGTTGTGTTGGCATCAGTGCTAGTGGTGGTGGTGGCAGCACGTCTGGGGGCTGGGAAGGGGGAGTAGGAGCGCTACGGGGCCCAGCCCAACCTCAGGTGAGGAGGAATCTGCATGTGCTGTACTGTGGGCCTCAGTGGCAGTGGTGGAGGCACATCTAGGGAAAGGAGTTCTCTCTGCCCCTTCTCTTGTAATCTCTGGAAGGTGCCCTCCTCCTGCTGGTGAGTGAGCCAGACGTGAGTGGCAGCATTGTCTCATTCTTAACAAAATTTAGGGAGGGGAGTGTGTGTGTGTGTGTGTGTGTGTGTGTTTAGAGACGGAGCCTTGCTCTGTTGCCCAGGCTGGAGTGCAGTGGCAGACCTTGGCTCACCACAAGCTCTGCCTCCTGGGTTCATGCCATCCTCCTGCCTCAGCCTCCCGAGTAGTTGGGACTACAGGCGTCCACCACCATGCCCGGCTAATTTTGTTTTTGTATTTTTAGTAGGGACCGGATTTCACAGTGTTAGCCAGGGTGGTCTTGATCTCCTGACCTCGTGATCTGTCCACTGTGGTCTCCCAAAGTGCTAGGATTACAGGCGTGAGCCACCGCACCCGGCCCTTTTTTCCTTGTGTTTTGTTGTGAGAGCCTTGAACTTTTTCAGATGTCATGAATTGGGGAGGAGATAAAAGGTATCATATGTCTTCTAATTGCTGCACCTGTTCTTTTTTCTTTTTTTTAGTCTGTATATTTTTCTTTTCATCTTGTTCCTCATTTTTTCTTGCTGCTGTTTCTATTTCATGTTACTATTGTTTTTCTTTTTTTCTTTTTTTTTTTTTTTTTTTTTTTGAGACGGAGTCTCGCTGTGTCTCCCAGGCTGGAGTGCAGTGGCGTGATCTCGGCTCACTGCAAGCTCCGCCTCCCGGGTTCATGCCATTCTCCCGCCTCAGCCTCCCGAGTAGCTGAGACTACAGGCGCCCGCCACCATGCCCGGCTAGTTTTTTGTATTTTTAGTAGAGACGGGGTTTCACCGTGTTAGCCAGTATAGTCTCGATCTCCTGACCTCGTGATCCACCCGCCTCGGCCTCCCAAAGTGCTGGGATTACAGGCTTGAGCCACCGCGCCCGGCCTCTTTTTGTTTTCTTTATGCCAACCCAATGGCCTTAACAAACAAGCCAAAATTGTCACTGTGTTGTATTTTAAAGTAACTGGTCCCTTACTGTGTTTTAGGGATGAGGAAAAAAATCAGTTGTACAATTAGTTACTTGAATAGCTATGCTTTCATGATCGTGTTAAACCCTTTATGCCTAGTGTTCCATTATTGGAATGCTAAGCATGAGGGAGTTACATCCTACTGGTGAAAGTCGTTGACAAGGTCTGATTTTTCACTCTTGCAAAAATTCAACTGTATACACTGTGTACAGTTTGTAGTCTTTTATTCCTCCCCTCCTCCCACTTTTTCTCCTAAGTCCCCAAAGTCCGTTGTAGTATTCTAATGCCTTTGCATCCTCATAGCTTAGCTTCCATTTACCAGCGAGAGCATACGATGTTTGCTTTTCCATTTTTAACGTTACTTCACTTAGAATGGTAGTCTCTGATCCCATCCAGGTTGCCGTGAATGCCATTATATTTTCCCTTTCTATGGCTGAATAGTATTCCATAAGATACATATGTATGTATGTGTATATGTATGTATATCACAATTTCTTAATCTACTCCCTGATGGGCATTTGGGCTGGTTACATACTTTTGCTATTGTGAATTGTGCTGTTACGAACATGCGAGTGCAAGCATCTTTTCTTTTCTCCTTTGGGTAGATACCCAGTAATGGAATTGCTGAATTAAATGATAGTTCTACTTTTAGTTCTTTAAGAAATCTCCACACTGTTTACCATGGTGATTGTACTAGTTTACATTCCAACTAGCAATATAAAAGTGTTCCCTTTTCACCAAATGCCCATCAATATTTTTTATTTTTTGATGTTTTGATTATGGCCATTCTCGTAGGAGTAAGGTGGCATGGCATGGTGGGTTTCCTTTTTTTTTTTTTTTTTTTGAGACGGAGTCCGCTGTGTCGCCAGGCTGGAATGCAGTGGTGCAACCTCGGCTTACTGCAGCTTCCGCCTCCCAGGTTCAAGTGATTCTCCTGCCTCAGCCTCCCGAGTAGCTGGGACTAAGGTGCCTGCCACCATGCCCGGCTAATTTTTGTATTTTTAGTACAGATGGGGTTTCACCATGTTGGCCAGCGTGGTCTCGATCTCTTGACCTCGTGATCCACCTGTCTCAGTGTCCCAAAGTGCTGGGATTTCAGGCGTGAGCCACCACTCACGGCCTGACATTGTGGTTTTGATTTACATTTCCCTGATCATTAGTGATGATGACCACTTTTCCATGTTGGTTGGACATTTTTTGTATCTCCTTTTCAGAATTTCTATTCAAGTCCTTAGTTCCTTACTTGAAGGGATTGGTTTTTTTCCTGCTAATTTGAGTACCTTGTAGATTCTGGATATTAGTCCTTTCTCAGATGTATAGATTGTGAACATTTTCTCCCTTTCTGTGGGTTGTCTATATACTCTGCTAATTGTTTCTTTTGCTGTGCCGAAACTTGTTGGTTTCTTACCTATTTATCTTCATTTTGTTGTTGTTGCGCTTGCTTTTGGGTTCTTGGTCATGAAGTCTCTGCCTAAGCCAATGTGTAGAAGGGTTTTCCAATGTTATCTTCTAGAATTTTTATGGTTTCAGGTCTCAGATTTAAGTTGACTTTCGTATAACGTTCGAGATGGGGACCCAGTTTCATTTCTTGGCATGTGGCTTGCCAATTATCCAAGCACCATATGTTGAATAGGGTGTCCTTTCCCCACTTTTGTTTTTGTTGGCTTTGTTAAAGACCAGTTGGCTGTAAGTATTTGGATTTCTGAGTTCTCTATTCTGTTCAATTGGTCTATGTGCTTATTTTTAGACCAGTACCATGCTGTTTTGCTGACTATGGCCTTGTAGTATATTGAAGCCAGGTAATGCAATGCCTCCAGATTTGTTCTTTCTGCTTAGTCTTGCTTTGGCTATGTGGTCTCTTTTTTGATTCCATATGAATTTTATAATAATCAGGAGCCACTGGGTGCTGCGGCAGCTTCAGGATAACTTGAGGGCACATCCTGGGAAAGAAACACCTCCTGTCCGTGTCGCTGACTGCTTGAGGATAGCAGTTCGGTGTGGCTTCTCCGTGGCCCAGCTTCTTTAGGGTGTTTTTCTTTCATGGTGAGTGCAGAAGCTTTCGTTTTCTGGAATGTTCTGTGTATCTCTGCTAGATTCTCCTTTTTTCTCTCTTGATACCTTAGCATTAATTTTACAGTAGTACTTATTCCCTGAGGGCTTTCGAGGTTGGAATGTGTAGGAGGCTTTAGGGCTGTTTTTGAGGGAGATTCCCCATGTAGATGGAGAGAGAGGAAGGCTCTGGCTGTGGGAGGAAGGGGGAGCCCGGCCCAGATGGCGTGTTGGGGCCAGGCCGCAGTTTGGCTGCCTCGCTTTCAAGCCTCAGGTGGAAGGAAAGGATCCAAGTTAAACTCCAGGGTTTGCTGATATTTTAATTATTTTTATTTTTTTGGAGATACGATCTTGCCTTGTCGCCCAGGCTGGAGTGCAGTGGTGGATCTCAGCTCACTGCAACCTCCATTTACTGGGCTCAAGGGATTCTCCAGCCTCAGCCTCTCCAGTATCTGGGCCTATGCCCCATGCCCAGCTATTTTTTTTTTTTTTTTTGTAGTTTTGGTAGAGACGAGGTTTCGCCATGTTGCCCAGGCTTGTCTCAAACTTCTGAGCTCAAAGCAACTTGCCCAAATGCTGGGATTACAGGCATTAACTACTGCGCCCGGTCTGCTGAATTTTAAAATCTGTGTCCCTGCCGTTGGGACATAGGGGTCACTTTTCTCCACTCCCTGCAGTGCCTGCCTAACTCTGTCCCTCTAGTCATGGCCACCTGACCGGGGGAAGGGACCTTGCATGTGGTTTAATGTCCTCTTTGCAGAAATGTCTATTCAGGGTCTCTGCTCTGTTTTGGGTGAATCACTTTTTTTTTGTTGTTGTTGCTACTTAGTACTGTTAATGTGTTGCATATTTTCTATAACAACCCCCGTTAGCCAATATGTGATTCCTCAAAACGTTCTCCCAGCCTTTCTCTTTGGGCTCATTGCTTCCTTTTCCTTGCAAAAACTTCTCACTTTGATATAGCCATGCATGTTTTCTTGTGGCCAGGCATGAAGGTTCATGCCTATAATCCAAGCACTTTGCAAGGCTAAGGTGGGATCACTGGAGCCAAAGAATTTGAGACCAGCCTAGGCAACGTGGCAAAATTTCATTTCTACAAAAAATACAAAAAAATTAGCCAGGCGTGGTGGTGTGTGCCTGTAATTCCTGCTATTCAGGAGGCAGAGGTGGGAGGATCACTTGTGCCGGGGAGGTCAAGGCTGCAGTGAGCTATGATCATGCCACCGCACTCCAGCCTAAGTGACAGAGTCACTGTAGTTATCACTTCTATGATTCCCTCCGATTTTCTAACAAGTTTTTGAGATGGTCTCATACTCTTTAGGCTGGAGCACAGCGGCATATCAGGGATTGTGAGTCCTCCAACTTAGTTTCTGTTTCTCAGGATTCCTTAGACATTCCGGGCCATTTGTGGTTCTATATGACCATTAGCATTGTGTATTCACATTTCTTAAATTTCTGTGCATAATAAAGTATATAATTAGAGAGTATGCTGGGACTGTTGTTCCTCTGGGATATTTTGATTCATGTATATTTTTACTAATGATCAAATCAGGGTACTTGCCACATCTGTTCTCTCACACAGGTATTCTTCTTTTGTGAGAACATTGGAATTGCTCCATTCTAGCTTTTTTGAAAAATACAGTATTTTGTTAACCACAATTACCGAGCTGCGAGCTGTGGTATAGAGAACAAGAATGTATCTGTCCCAACTAACTGCAACTTTGTTTCCATAACCAATCCTCCCATTCCCTCCTTTCCCTCTCCTCAGAAAACCACTACTGTGCCTTCTACTTATCGGAGGCAGAGTTTTCTGGATTCCATATAACTGAGATGAATCTCTGCTTGTTTTTCTATGCCTGGCTTATTTTATTTAACATATTTTCCAGGTTCATCTGTATGGCTCCAAATGAAAATTACGTTGTTGTGGATGAACAGTATTGCGTTGTGCAGATATACTGCAGTTTCTTCATCCCTTCATCTGTGGATGGAAAGGTAGGTTGATTCCATACCTTCTGTATTGTAAATAGTGTCATGAAACATGGGAGGGCAGGTAACTTCTTAAGGTACTGGTTTCCTTGGCTTTAGATGCATATGCAGTGTGAGGAATACCCCAACTTTTTCACAGCGTATTCACTAATTCACATTGGCATCAATAGCGTATCAGAGTTTTCCTTTCTGTAAGTCTGCACTGGCTGCTACCTTCCAAAAATGCTATTGCTGTTTTTGGTGATATTCATTCTCAGTGGAATTTGATGGTAACTGATATCGGGGTGTGATTCTGACTTACATGTTTGGAGTGATTAGTGATGTGGAAAATCTTTAGTTTCACCTGTGGATCAGTTTCGTGTCATTTGCAGAAGTGGTTGTGCAGGTCGTTTGCATGTTTTTAGCTTGTGTATTAATCTTTTCCCCACTCGGTAGCCTTAGTGCTTGAATATGTTAAATAACAACCCCTTCCAAAATTACAATTTCCCACAATTTTAACCCAATCATTCTTTCCACCAAGGTAAGATGCTTTCTCTTTGGGTTCATTGTTTTCTTCCCAGTGCAGAAGCTCTAAAATGTTTGTCTCTCAGGTTTATATTTGCTTTTGTCAGCAGGGATTTCGGTGTCCAATCAGAGAGGAAAAAAAGAGATCATAAAGTCATTGTATTGTCTATAGGTATTTTCCCCATAAGTGAGACCATGTGGTGTTTGGTTTTCTGTTCTTTCCTTAGTTTGCTTATCATAGTGACCTGCAGGTCCATCCTTGTTGCTGTCAAGGACATGAATTTTTTAAAACTATGTAGGATGTTGTAGTATCTATGTACAGCACTTTTAAAACATCTCATCAACTGTTAAGGGGGAACATAGATGGATGTTATTTTATATTTCCATGTGAATAGCACTTCCAAGAACATACCCATGCCTGTGTCATTTTGAAAGAAGGATTTATGATTAATTCTTTATGTGTAGATACCCAGTTATGCAATTGCTCATTTGGATGGTAGTTCTGAGTTCTTTGAGGAACCTCTAAACCACTTCTCATAGCGTGAGAACTAGTTTTTATTCCCACCACGAGAGTAGCAGTGTCTGCTTTCCTCTGCTGCTTTGCTACCATGTAAATGTTTGAACTTAGGACAAGTGGCCATTCTGACCGACGTGAGACGGTATCTCCGTGTGTGTGTGAGTTACATTTCTCTGATGATGAGTGATGTCGAGGTGTTTGTTCATGTTCTTTACCCATTGCTTGAATGGTTTATTTGTTTTTCTGCCTCTTGATTTTTTTTAAGGTCATGTTAGAGTCTGGCTATTAGACCTTGCTGAGAAGCATAGTTTGGGAACATTTTCTCCCATCCTGTAGGCTGTGTGTTTACTGTGCTGGTGATTTATTTTGCTATCTGGCAGTGTTACAGTTTCTTAGGCCCAACTTGTCCTTTTGGTTTTTCTTGCTGTTGCATTTTGTCTAAATGCTTTCCAAAGCCTGTATTGAGAAAGATATGTCCAAGGTTTCCTTGTAGGGACTTTCATAGTTGGAGATCTTCTACTGAAATCTTTCATTCACCTTGGGTTGGTTTTTGCATCTGACGAGAGTTAGGGCTTCAGTGTTACTCATCTGCATGTGGCTAGGCACCTAGCCCAGTGCCCTTCATTGCAGAGTGAGCCTTTTGTCTGTCTGAGCTTTGGAGTTTCAGGGCATTTTGTGGTCCCATGGGAATTTTAGCATTGTTTCTCTATGTTGCATTCAAGAAACAAGATTAGCTCTGTCCTAAAGATGTACAACTAGAGGGCAGAGTGGGACATTTGGGGCCGCGCATGCATCGTATAGGGATGAAATCAGGGTATTTAGTGTCATTTTTTGCCTTGTCGAGTTTTCATATATTTGAGTGAGGAGAGCGAGAACGCTCCTTTCTGGCTGTCTTGAAAACTACCCTCTGGTAAAGTTTTCCCTGATCATCCTGCTGAGGAACAGAACAGCAAGTTTCATTCCTCTTAATGCAACGTGTCACTTTGTACCTGTTTCCTATGCCCACCCATGCCCAGCCTTCTGTTCCAACCCTGACAGGCCCTGTGGTGCTTTGTAGGTCTGTGTGAGATAAAGTTTCCTAGATGCTTCACGAGGGAGGTGATGCGAGGTTTGTCTGTCCCTGCCTAGGGTGTTTTCATTTACCACGATGTCTTCCAGGTTCCACCATGTTGGTGCGGATGACCTGATTGCGGTACCCGTGTCTGGGTGAAGAGGATCCGGTTGTGACTAGATGCTGCAGTTTCTGAATCCCATTCTCTGTGGGTGGACAGGTAGGTTGATTCCTTATCTTGGCTATTGTGACTGGTGCCACAGTCAGCGTGGGAAGGCAGATACGTCTTCCGTGTACTGGTTTTGTATGATTCCAGTAGCAGCACAGCTCAGTGAGAAATGGTCGTTGTATTTTTAGTTTTCCGAGGAGCCTCCAAGTGCTCTGTAGTGTGAGTACTAATTTACCTGTTAACAGCTGTGGATAAGAGAGCTCTCTGTTCTCTGGAAATTGACAGCAGCATTTGTGGTTTCCCTTCTTTGGAGATACATGAAGGGCTTTGTAATACTCCTTCCACCGAGAGGGACACAAGCAGTATCAGAGTCTTGTTCTGATGTTCATTTTTGCCATGATTAATGATGTTAACCAGGCGTTCACAAACAGACTTGTTTTCAGTTTTATATGTTCTTTGCAGAAAAGTCTCTCTGTCCAGTTTTGGTTTGGTAATTAATTTCTGTTTTCCGGTGTTTTTGGCTAGTTAGTAATGTTACTTACGCCTTTTCCAAGAAATGCCTCATCGACAGTGTTTTTCTCCGAACCCTTCTTATCATCCTTCGTATGTTTCTTTCTTTTTATTCGTATTTTTCATTCTTTCTTGCCCAGAAGCCACGTGGTCTGGTGCAGTTTCAGGTGCGTGCAGCGTTCTGGTTTTCCCTTAACACTGGTGACTGATGAAGTTAAAGAAATTCACTAGCATGTCAATCTGTTGCCAGTGAGTTTTGGTTGTTGGTGGTTTGTATTCTTTTGTGTCTTTATTTTTTTTTTTTGTTATTTTCCTTTTTGTAAACCATGAGCACAGATCCAGGTTCACCCTGGTATCTGCACACTATATGCTTTCTTCCTAGAGAGTGACTTTTTCAAGTTCTGGGTGTAGGTCTTTCATTCGTGTTGAATGAATTACTGTGAATTTTGCACAATAAGGACCCTATGTTGTTACTTGCGTAGGGATATCCAGTTCCCCAAACGCTGTGTTGGGCAGACTCTCCCTTTCCAGGGTGACTTTTGTGGTTCTTTTCAAACATGTGCTTATTCTATGTTGTGAAAGGAAGATACCTTGGTCCCTCAAAATCACTAAGGAAGACTCAGGCTGGAAACTGCTTAGGGCCATCTTGCCTCCCATTCTATTCAAAGTCACTCCTCTGCTCACTGAGATAGACGCATATCTGATTGCCTCCTTTGGAGAAGCTAACCAAAAACTCTAAGTAATGTAATTATTTGTGTATCACTGATCTGTGACCTTGAAGCTCCCTCCCTGCTTCCAGTCTTCCTGTCTTTGCTTAAATTGTTCAGCCTTTCCAGAACGAACCTATGTACTTCTTAACGTATATTGATTGATGTCTCATGTCTCTCTAAAATGTATAAAATGAAACTGCCCTGGCCACGTTGGGCACATGTTGTCATGACTTTCTGATGCTTTGTCACGAATGTGTCCTCAACCTTGGCAAAATAAACTTTCTAAAATTAACTGAGACCTGTTTCAGATTTTCTGGGTTCACTTTTTGGTAACCACGGGGGGATTCTGAGTGGAGATTCTCCTGACCTTTGGCAAGTCTCCTGTCAGTGCTTTGGGACCAGCGTGAGCTCACTTTATGACCCAAACCAATAGGACAATTTGCTGAGGTCTGAGAGCACCCCCTCCAGAGAATTCCTCATCTCCCAAAATTTGGTCAAGATCTAAAAAGTGTATTTTGCTGTACAACTCCTTTTTTTTTTTCTTTTTTTTTCTTTTTTTTTTTTTGGAATTTTGCTTGCGTCCATCAAGAAGACAAGTTTTCATACCTCCATGATGTTGGAAGACAGGTGCCTCCTTTGTGGGGTTGGAGCTCACTTCTTCTAATAGGCAAGTGTTTTTTCTCCTTTGTGGAGTTGGAGCTCACTTCTTCTAATGGGCAATTTTTTTTTTCTCCTGCTTCTAGGATGGTAGAGAGCAGTTTACAGCCTGTGACCCATTACTAAGTAAGAAACTGGTTTTGGATTCTGTCTTGCATATTCCTTTTAAAGAATAAAGTTAACATTTAACAACCAGCCGGTGTTAATTTCTGCTTACCCTTAGAGTGCTCAGGTACCATAATTTGTGTGACCATTGGCAGTTTAGCAGCATTTTGTCCTAGCTGAAATATGGTGATAAGATTAAAAGAGTTTTGTTTAAAGGAACACAATTGTGTAGAAGTCACCTTAATTAAAAGGGTAACATCCAGATGTGTGTGCAAGTGTGTATTTGAAAGGCCTTCATGTTTTTGGTTTTTCTGTTTGTTTCATTCTCCTAAGACCTTGTCTTTTTTTTGTTGTTGAGCAAACGTATTTATTTTTGTCTTGTCAGTTGACTGAATTTTGTTTTCACCTGATTTTTTTTTTGACTGAAATAGTTATTGCAACAGAGACCACTCTTGGGTTTTTAAGGAAGAATGTAGTTTAATTTTATGTTTAATTTGACTCAGAGAAAAATATTAGTGTCTCCCTCTAGCACCACTAGACTTTTTCTTTCTGTACTTTATGAAGTAAATTTGGCTATTTGATTTTCACCTGAGTTGTTTCCTTTAATGTTCAAATTTCAGGCTATTAGTTGACAACTGCCTAGGGTTGTGAAACAAGTTATCAAGAATCTGAAAGTCTAAGACAGAAAAAAAAAGGGGGGGGAGTCTTTAAATCTATAAAATGTACTGTAACAGCCCAATGGGTTTACCTTGCCTGCTGCCTAGACAGAACTGATTTATCAAGAGGAATTGCAGTGGAGAAAGAGTAATTCACGCAGAGCTGGCTGTGTGGCACACCAAAACTTACGCAACTCGGTCTCCCTGAGCATTCGGGGATCAGAGTTTTTAAAGATAACTAGGTGGGTAGGGGCTTGGGACATGGGGAGTGCTGATGAGTCAGGTTGGAGATGGAATCATAGGGGGTTGAAGTTGGGTTTTCTTGCTGTCTTCCATTTATAGGTGTGATGGCACAACTGGTTGGGCCAGATTACGGGCCTAGGCAGGGTCTGCAACACATATCAAGCCCTGATCTTAGGTTTTACAATAGTGATGTGATGTTACCCGCAGGAGCAATTTGGGGAGGTTCAGACTTTTGGAGCCGGAGACTGCATGACCCCTAAACTGTAAATGCTAATCTTGAAGCTAATACGTTAGTCCCACAAAGGCAGACTGCTCCCCAGGCAAGAAGGGGTTCTTTTCAGGAAAGAGCTGTTACCAATTTGCTTTCAGAGTCAAACTGTAAACTAAATTCCTTCCCAAAGTTAGTTCAGCTTACACCAAGGAATGAACAAGGACAGCTTACGGGTTAGAAGCAAGATAGAGAGTTGGTTATCTCTGATTTCTTTCACTGTCATAATTTCCTTAATTATAATTTTGTAAAGGCGGTTTCAGTACTTCCATCAATGTGCCTAATAGATTTTTATATGTATTTGTGTGTTGTGTACAGAATGTTCCACTACTAAAAATACATAAAAGAGCTCTAATTGGCTTAAAGAAAAATAAAAGCGCTTAAGTTAGATACTAAAAAAGACTAGTCCAATGCTTTTTCAACTTTATGTAACTTAAGTAAAATCTTTAATAAATAAGCTAGCTTTAAAATTATTGGTAAAATAATATTAGAAATGTCTTAAGAATTGGCAGCATACATTTTTGTTTACATTTAGTAATAAACCAATTTCAAACGTATTCCTGCCAAATACTATAAGGTGTCAAAATTTGGCATTGGGGTTTCAAAACTATAAACCCAGCCCAAAACAGAATGATCTTTACTTCAGTAATTTTTAATAAGATGTTGATATGGGTTTAATAAAAATAGCTGCATGTTGAATTTAGTAAGATTACTAGCACTTCTAGTCCTGTGTCTTTTGGTTGTCTAGTCCACAGACAATAAGGAAAGGACTGCTACTGCCTTTGTTTCAAAGCTCAATTAGAAACCAGGTTCCTCCCAGTGTTAGTTCAGCCTATGGCCAGGAATGGACAAGGACAGCTTGGAGATTATGAGCAAGATGGAGCCAGTTAGGTAAAATCTTTTTTTCACTGTCTGTTATAATTTTGCATTGGTGGTTTTATAACTTTAAATCACGACTATCACAGATTTCATAAATCTAGGTAAACAGGTAAATATAATGGGATAAATACTTGTAGACAAACTGGTCATGATTTAGAATATAAAGTTAAATTAAATAATAGATATTTCAGTATTTGGGTATTTTCCAATACACATATCTTGTAGGAAAACATTCTTGCCAAAAGAAGTGTGTCTTTTCTAAAAAGAAGAAGAAAAAAGAAAAGATCAACAAGTTTTGTCTAATTCAAACCTTACATTATATATAAAACAAGGTAAAATGAACCAGGGAATAAAAAACAGATGTAAAGAAAGTTGTCAAGAGATTGTTTTTGAGTAAAAAGAGCTTAAAGAGAGATACTATTATATAAGAAAGATTCCTGTATAGTAAGTTTAGTCCTAAAATAAAATAACTGGTTGTTTAAAAAGAAAGGATGTTCAGAACTCATTAGAAAGTCTGACCATGTCATGAACAGTCAGTGTAAAGCCACAACAAGGATTTATGTATTTAAAAAACCCAAAAATTTTTATATAATAAAGTTGTCATATTAAGTTTTGGTTTGCTTAGGAAAAACTGAGATTTTTAAAAATCTAGGTTATTACGTCTGTGTATCTTCCTGTATATGCTTTCAAAATCCTTGCAACATTGAGTTACAGGCATTTACCTCCTAGGTCTAAAAATGACACTAAGTCCTGCTAAATTTTAAAAACTCACAGCAATTAAAGCCTCATTTTCAGGACCCATAGAAGATGCCGATTTAAATAAACTGCTGCCTTCCTGAGAATACAGGGCAAGAAATGATGAAAGCTATTCAACTCCTCGAGACCCAGAGACCAGTGAAAGAGGTAGGAGCGTAAGATTGTAAGGGCCGATTTTGAAAGGTAAGGTAAGTTCAGTTTCTCTGTACATTAATTACTAATGTCAAAGGCACACTGATGCAAAACCAGTACACGGACCCCTGTGTCAGATGAACAAGGTCTTCTTGAAGCATTAACCAGCTCCTTATTACAGGTTATAAAAGGCTTATGGAAGTTATATTTTATAATCAGGATTACATTTTATAGATTGTTTACAAAAATTTTAAAACCAAATGTAATTGACTTTATGCTGTTTTTATTATGGCCTGTTGTTTAGAAAATTAAGTCTCCTGTCTCAAAAAATGAAGGTTTTCACTTTTTAAAAAATTCTTGAATTATCACTTTGGTTAAATAAATGACTTTACAATGACCTGTAATCCTATTTTTTAATATCAAGTGTTTTAAATATTTTATATTTGACAGACTTTCCAAAATCAAATGATATATTATGTCTTTTTCTTTTTTTTCTTTTTTTTTTTTTTTTTTGAGACGGAGTCTCGCTCTGTCACCCAGGCTGGAGTGCAGTGGCCGGATCTCAGCTTACTGCAAGCTCCGCCTCCCGGGTTTACGCCATTCTCCTGCCTCAGCCTCCCGAGTAGCTGGGACTACAGGCGCCTGCCACCTCGCCCGGCTAAGTTTTTGTATTTTTAGTAGAGACGGGGTTTCACTGTGTTAGCCAGGATGGTCTTGATCTCCTGACCTCGTGATCCGCCCGTCTCGGCCTCCCAAAGTGCTGGGATTACAGGCTTGAGCCACCGCGCCCGGCCTATTATGTCTTTTTCTATCCTGAATAATTCTTTAAGACATTAGGTTCTCTAAAGTCTGAAAATAGCATAATTTGGCTTATCTGGTATAAAATTTATACAGGAAACATTGTCAAATATGAGATGGTGTTTGGCTTTCTTTCGGATCCATTTGTATAAATATGTTATTGGTATGTTTCCAAAATGATGGGAAACTCCTGTAATTCTGATATAACTTAGTGTACATTGTTTGTAATAATCATAATTGTTATGTTAAAATTATTGTGTGCCTCAGAGGTAACAAATTCACTTGTCAGTTGTGTCTTTTAACTATGGCTGCCTTAACTTTTTTTTCATCCACAGATAGTTGTCTTGTTTTAAACCCTCTTTGTAAGGTGGGTTTATAATCAGCTATAGGACTCTAATAGGTGCACTTAAGTTCAGGTTTTCTGATAATTTTGGAAATTGTTATATTGGAATAAGGCAAAAAATTTCAAAACTCTCATGGAGAGCTGAAATGTTCATGACTATCATACAGAACAGGAGTTAACTGAAATAACTGAGTCAATAGAACACTGAAGTAATTTTTTTGACTTTTCGCTTGAAACATTGCTGATACTTTTAGTTTTTCAGAGTTAAGAAACTTTTAAAGTTATTTACAGGTTTTAACAATAAATTATTGTATATTCCTGTGCACAAAATTTGGAGCGTATTTGTTGTTCTCTACCTAATTTCTCCAAAATTTGGAGACCGTGAGTATTGTAAATTTATGGCAATATAGTTATTTGCATAAGTACAATAAAAATCTGTTTTATTTTGCAGTAAGACACAGTTGGAGAATTTGGTTATTTTATCAAGGGTTGGACTGAAATGGTGTGCTTTCCTTTAAGGAATCAGACTTACGAAGCCAATAAAGCCCTTCGAAAAGCTGGCCTCATATTTTGTGTGCACAGTCCCTGTATAGGGTTTTGATCTGTGGTAAATAATGTCACTTGCTGTGACAGGCGCAGAAGCCCCGGTTTATCTTGGAACCTCAAGAGAAGAGGAAATTCACTGAAATCATAGGTATTTGATGGCGTGGTTGGGCTTGGCTTTAAAAAAGTCTTATCTAAGATTCCTCCTATGGAGCAAAGTTCTGTCAAAGCCAATTTAAAAGCCCAGGTAAAAAATAATTATTATTGCACTGTATGCAAATTATTAGGCCAAGTATAATAAAGCAAATCAATTCTAACATGATTTATCTTTAGTAAAAATGGAAAACTGGAGGGAAAAAAATTATGTTTCAAAACTACAGTAGACCTGTTTTTAGATTCTAGTCTTGCCTACTTTTTTTTTTCAACTTTTATTATTTTCTACAGCTTGGACCGAATTCTAAGTTTTCTTGGCTACAAGTCTTTAAAATAGTGTTTTCAATTTTTTTTTTTTCAATTAGTCCTAAACTAAGCTGTGCTTTCTTAAAACCCTGAGAACTGAAGCCAAACAACTTAAACTTCAGAAGAAAATAACAGCAACTTGTTTACATACATAAGCCACTTTCATACTTGCCTACTGATGTATGGACTGCACAGTAATGTGGCTTATGTTTATTTTTCCAGGATTGTTCTTTTGTTTGTTGTTTTTTCTCCCTTCCTCCAGCCTATTTTAGCTTCACAGGATGTGAGACTTCACAACCTGCTAAAAATGAGCTTTTGGGAGCTTTCTAGGAATAAACCCTCCTAGCCATGAGAGATCAGATGAAACCCGAGACCAGAGACTCATTTTCTTGTAAAATACCTTTTCCAAAAGATTTTTTTTAACAAGAAAAGGGGGAAATTGTGAAAGGAAAATATCTTGGGCCCCTAAAATCACAAAGGAAAACTCAGGCTGGAAACTATTTAGGGCCAGCCTGTCTCCCATTCTCTTCAAAGTCACCCCTCTGCTCACTGAGATATATGTGTGTCTGATTGGCTCCTTTGGAGAATCATCAGAAACTCAAAAGAATGTAATCATTTGTGTATCACTGATCTGTGACCTGGAAGCTCCCTCCCTGCTTCCAGTCTTCCTGTGTTTGCTTCAAGTGGTCACACCTTTCTAGACCAAATCAATGTACTTCTTACATGTATTGATTGATGTCTCATGTCTTCCTAAAATGTGTAAAACCAAGCTGTGCCCTGACCACCTTGGGCACATGTTGTCATGACCCTGAGACTGGGTCACGAGTGTGTCCTCAATCTTGGCAAAATAAACTTTCTAAATTAACTGAGACCTTCTTTTGAGTTTGCTGCTGGGCATCCTCCTTGTGTTCATTGGCCTGTGTTTCTCTCTTAATGCCTATCACGAATTGCTTGGGTAACTAAACTTTGGGAAGTAATTTAAAATGGAAGAGTGTGACTCTACTCTAGACTTTGTATGTGTAGGAACTGCTTTGGGAATGCGTGACACTTCATTGTCCTACGGGATTTTTAGTAGTGTGTTGTGATCCTGTTTGGAAAACAAAAATATCACATGGTCTGTGTTTTTACGTAAAGGGTGCAAGGGACCTTTTTACATGAATCAATGAAACTGCAGGACCTAGCATCTCTGTTTCATGCTACAGTGAGGATTTCTTGATGGAGAGAGCATTCTGAATCCTTTTCAGCAATATTGAATATTACGCTTCCATATTGTTAAGCCTAGTCACCCTGCTGTGCCGTAGAACACCAGAGTTACCTGCATGTCATCTGAGCATCCCTTTGTAGCCATTTCCAATTCTCCCCTCAGCCTCTGGTACCCACTGTTGACACTGTTGTTCTATGAGATTCACTTTGTTAGATTCCATGTGCGTGAGATTATGCAGTATTTGTGTTTGTCTTCCTGTCCCTCTCTCATTTTTTTAATTTAATGTTCTCCAGGTTTCTCCATCTTGCTGGTAGTGAACTGATGTCCGGGATTTTGGTGGCTGAAGAGTATACTTGTGCATAAATCCTTCAATTCCTGCATTTTTTCAGCTGTGGAAAGACAAGTGGGTTGATTCTACACCTTGATTATTGTCCAGAGTACTTCATGAAACACGGGGAGGGAGAGCCCTCCTTAAGGTAGGTTTCCTTGGCTTTGCGGGTGTAGCCAGTGTTGGGATGGCTAGAGGAACTGGTAGTTGTGGTGGTTCAGAAACCTCCAGCTGTCTCTCCCAGTGAGTATAAGAATTTGCATTCTCACTAGTAGTATGTAAGAGTTCCTCTGTCAGTAAATCTACACTGCCCTTATCTTCACAAAGTTTTACTGCTGTTCCTGGTCATACTCGTTCTCTGGGGAGTTTGATAGTATCTGAGTGTGGTTGGGATTTACAATTTGGGGGATGATTACTGATACGGAGAAACTTTTCTGTTACCCGAGAGTCTGTTTCAGGTGTTTTCAGAAATGCCTATGCCAGTCCTCTGGGTGTTTAAAAGCGTGTGTATTGGTTTTTACGTTTTTGTCCACTTAGGACCATTAGTTTCTTGAATATGTTAGGTAAGAAGCCCTTCCAGATCACAGTTTTCCATAATTTTCTTCTAGTCTGCAGGATGCCTTTTATTTGGGTTCTCTATTTTCTCTCCTTTGTTGAAGCTGTGTGAAGCTCTGAAGTTGTCCTTAGTCTCACATGGTTGCATTAGTTTTTGTTAGCACGGATTTCTGTGTCCCTTTGAGAAGAAAAGCGAGATGGTGAAGCCATTGTATGGTCTATGGGTATTTGGTTCCTATGTCTTCCTTTTCTGTTTGTAGCTTAGGTTCACAGGTTCAAGTTTCCCCACAGTGGACACGCACCCTGTGCGTTTTCCTTGGAGATTTTTGGTTTCAGAATTGCAGTTAGGTGTTCAGTGGGTTTCGTGTCGCTTTTTGTGTCTTGTGTAGAGGAAGGGTTTATTTCAGTCCTTTGTACGTGACCCCCCCGTTGCCTCAACCATTGCGCCTTTGGTGTGCTTTTGGGGGAAAACAAGAATCCCATGGGTTCAGTGTTTATAATTTTGGGTTGATTATTTGACTCCTTCATTGTGTCCATTCGGTTGTCTTTCTGTGTTCATGCCGCTAATGGGTGGATTGGACTTTTTGTTTTGTGAGTTTTCTTCCTTTTTTCTATTTCTATTTCCAAAGCTGGGTTTTCTAAAATGATAGCTACTTTTATTGTGATCGAGGGGTACACCTGCAGATTCAGTTCCCTACATGGTTATGCGGTAGAATTTTGATGCTTGGGGTCCTAACGTACCCGTCACCCAGGTAGTGAACGTAACACCAGTTGGGTCTTTCTTCCTCCAAGGCTCCCTGTCTCCCTTCTTTTTTTGTCTGGTATACCCAGCGTCTGTTGATTTCATCTTTATGTTGATGTGTATTGGATGTTGAGCTTCCACTTACATATGAGAACCTGCAGTGTTTGATCTTCTGTTCTTGCCTCAGTTGCTTAGCAGAGTGGCTTCCAGTTCCACCCATCTTCCTACTGAGGGCATGATTTTGTTTCTGTGTTTGATTTTCCTTAGTGGCTTTTTGGCATTCTTTGATGTATAGGTACCACGTTTTTAAAAATCAGATTTTCTGTTGGTGTGCGTCTAGGTCAGTTCCCCGTCTTTATTCCTGTCAGTAACACTCCTGTGGACGTGTGAGTGTCAGTGTCTTTTTGATAGATGCATGTATTTTTCCCTTGGGTAGATGCACGGGGTGGGATTGCTGGGTCAAAGCGTAAGCTCTGCTTTCTATCCTTTTTTTTTTTTCCAGAAATCTTCAGATTGGTTTCCACAGTTTGAGATCTAGTTTGCATTACCTCCAAGAGAATAGCCGTGTTTGATTTTCTCTGCTGCAACACCAGCGTGTTATATTTTGACAGGACAAATGGCCACTCTGACCAGCGTGTGATGGCACTGGTACCTCATCTCTGATGATTAGTGATCTGGAGCATCCCCCAGGCCTGTTGAAATAGCAATCCCTTGAAAATGTCTTCTCAGTTATAACCCATATGTATGTTGCTCAGGCCGCTGTGTGGCCCCAGCACTGTTGGTTTGCACTGGGACTTGGGGATTGTTTGTCATTGTTACCCAGGACAAATGTTACACTGCTTTTCCTACAGTGAGTAGTGGGAGTGGCGTATGGGGACATACGCTTATGCCCACAGTTCCATCAGAAATCCCACTGCCTTAAGACAGTCTCACGGCAACCCAGTCCCAGCCTTGCAGCACCAGGTAACCCTGTGGCGTTTTGACTTGGGTGTGTCTGCATTGTTAAAGTCATTCAGCACATTGCCATGCATTTATCCACTTCGGTCAATGTTAAGGGAAGTTCATTGCCTCTGCTTCTTCAGTGACTGATGTCTGGTGCATCAACTGAATGCATTTCAGGCTTATAAGGCGTTCACCTGAATCTATGGGTAAAAAAGCTTTTCACCATGCCCACCTCCCCAGTGAGTGACCAGTGTCTCATTATTAATGCATCTGATGGCACAGAGTTTTAGTGGTTGGAGGGAGGTCAGTCGCCTAGCAGAGACTGAAATCACGTTGGTATTTACGTTATTACTTTGCTACACCTTGGTTTCTGGCAGGGTTTCACACTGTTTAGTCTGGACTGAATCTTTGAATTACTTTACTTTGTCTACCAACTATTTCAAAGAACTTGATAAACTTGTTCTAATTAGCCAACATAGTCATCCATAATGTCCGTATACGAGGTCTAATAATAAAACATTTCTTAATGCACACGGCATGGAAGACAGTCTACACATTTTCAAGTGTAGACTTTGCCTGTGACTCTTTAGTGAGGAATAGTCATTGTTACTTTAGGAAAACCCTGAGTTTATCCAACTCTTGTTAGAATTGGATAAGTGTGAATTCCTACAATAGAATACAAGTGTGAGAGCCAAGTCCTGTGGTAAAATAAACTCATTATTTATGTATGTCTGGTCATTGTATTAATAAAATCAGTTTGTTTTGGCTGAAACACATGGTTGGCCTTTACAATAGATGTGAAAATGGGATTATAGATCATTGCTGTTAAGTGTGAATATTAGGTTGTGTTTATTGCCAAACTCTCAACAGCTTCTAAGGAGTGAATTTCCAGTGCATTGCTGTTCTCCAAGTACAAGCAGTCCCTTCAGTTTTACCACATTCACCTTTCACACAGTGATGCATGATATGGAGACAGCAGGAATTGAAGTAGAACCAGAGGGAGTAGCTAGGACAGACATTCCGATTCATTCATTTGATTCTCACTATTGTCAGACAGTGAGTAAAGGTTCACTGAAGTTTTCTTTTGATGAATAAAATGGACAGTTTCTCAGTGCAATGGAAGAGCAGCCATGAAGACTTTAACTACTGATTAGTGAAGTCTATACTGGTTTCTGTGTATTCTTTTTCAATTCAACTTTTATTTTAGATTGAACAAAAATGTGCAAGTTTATTGTGTGATACTGAGTTTTGGGGTATGATTAAAGCCATCACTAAGTTAGTGAGCATCTCACCTTCTTTTCACTCTATTATGGAGATCAGACCCTCCCAGTCTTCAGTGCACTCTAAATACTGGCTAATTCTGGCCAATGGAAGGCATCTGTGGAAGAAAAAAGCCTCCGGTCATGTGGTATCTGTCTTTATTCACTGTAACATATTAGGTAATGGTCACAGCCACTCACCATGGCCGTTTTTTTTTTTTTTTTTGAGACGGAGTCTCGCTCTGCCACCCAGGCTGGAGTGCAGTGGCCAGATCTCAGCTCACTGCAAGCTCCGCCTCCCGGGTTCACGCCATTCTCCTGCCTCAGCCTCCCGAGTAGCTGGGACTACAGGCGCCTGCCACCTCGCCCGGCTAGTTTTTTGTAGTTTTTAGTAGAGACGGGGTTTCACAGTGTCAGCCAGGATGGTCTCGATCTCCTGACCTCGTGATCCGCCCGTCTCGGCCTCCCAAAGTGCTGGGATTACAGGCTTGAGCCACCGCGCCCGGCCTCACCATGGCCGTTTTTAATAACGACCCTGCTTTTGTGTTCCAGTAACTTCTGTTGTTTTCCTGATCCTAAGTATGATAGAAACTTCCTGCTGCTGCTAATCTCTGGGTTCCATTTAAAATCCTTCTGTCACATGAACACTATGTGCTGTACTAAATTTTTCCATAATTAAATACTTAGAATCATTTTTGCCTACTTATTTTAGCCCTTAGTGATATGTTTTAAAAAACGCTTATTTTTTTTTTTTTTTTTTGAGAGGGAGTCTCGCTCTGTCTCCCAGGCTGGAGTGCAGTGGCGCGATCTCCGCTCACTGCAAGCTCCGTCGCCTCCTGGGTTCACGCCATTCTCCTGCCTCAGCCTCCCGAGAAGCTGGGACTACAGGTGCCCGCCGCCACGCCTGGCTAATTTTTCTGTATTTTTAGTAGAGATGGGGTTTCACTGTGTTCGCCAAGGTGATCTCGATCTCCTGACCTTGTGATCCGCACGCCTCGGCCTCCCAAAGTGTTGGGATTACAGGCGTGAAGCCACTGCACCTGGCCAAAAACACTTATAATGTGTTACAATATATTTAGCAAATGTAGGGAATGACATTTTTACTTTCGTCAGCATTTTCACTAGCATTTATGTAGTAATGCTATCTCAAGTATTTTTAGTCATTTAAACGTTATCTAATAGATAACGCTTTTGATTCGTTTCTATGTAAATATACTTGAGATATTCAGTAAATAGTATTTAATATATGTTTCTTTTATGTAATATAAAATTTTGATTTTTTTTTTAAACAGTGCATCATATTTACTTGTTGGCTTTTTGATAACTTAGAAATAATATTCTGGATTAACTGTGACTCGTGAGAGAGTTCGTGCAACTATAATGTTTCCAAATTTACTTGATTTTCAAGACTTACACTAGAACTGTGAGAACAAGGTATTAAGCATATGTATTAATATCACCTTTGGTCAACTCTTGGGTGGCCCCAATGGTAGTGTAGGAATTAACATAATTTTTCCTACTAAAAGTATTGGATTTGTTTTGAGAGACCACAGTTTAAAGTCATTGACATACAAAGTTGTTGGATTAAAAATTTTTAATACATTTGAAGTGGTTTTATAGAAAAATAATTATCTAATCTGGTTTACATTGATAGGTTGTTTTCTTGGATAAGAACTAGACGAAGAGAAAGGGAGAGTAGTGATAAATGTCCAGGTTTTCAAGTTGAAAAATAACAATCAGTGTATTACAACGGATGTGATGTCAAATTACAAATGCTGAAAACGTTATATGTAATCACGTAACCAGAGTAATTATATAAGGTAAAGAACTGAAAGGCATCCAAATAGGAAAGAGGCTGGAGTGCAGTGGCACCATTTCAGCTCACTGCAACCTCTGCCTCCTGGGTTCAAGCGATTCTTCTGCCTCAGCCTCCCAAGTAGCTGGGATTACAGGCGCGTGCCAGCACACCTGGCTAATTTTTGTATTTTTTTTAGTAGAGACAGGGTTTCATCATATAGGCCAGGCTGGTGTCTAACCTCTGACCTCGTGATCCACCTGCCTCACCCTCCCAAAGTACTGGGATTAGAGGCATGAGCCGCCGCGCCCAGCCAACATAGAGATAATCTTTAAGATTCCATCAAAAAAAAAAAAAAAAAAAAAAAGCTGTTAGCTGATAAACACATTCAAAGTTGAGAGTTACAAAATTAACATATAAATAGTATTATTGTTTCTATACACCAATGACAAACTATTAACTGAAAAACAATAAAGTACTTCCATTTATAATAGCATAACAAATATATAAGTTAAAAGACTAATTTTGAAGAAGGATGTGAAACATTTGTAAACTGAAAATTTATAGCACTGTTGAAAGAAATTGAAAGTGACATAAATAGAAAAAATCTCGTATTTATGCATTTGAAAAAATTAATACTGTCAAGATTTCAGTGCTACCCAAAGCAGTCTACAGATTAAATGTAAGCACTATCAAAATCCAGTTCCATTCTTCACAGAAGGAGAAAAATTAGTCCCAAAATCTGAATGGAACCGCAGAAGATGCTGAAAAACCAAAGCAATCTTGAGCAAAAAGGACAAAGTTAGAGGCATCAGACTACTTGATTTCAAATGATACTAAAAAGTTATAGTACTTAAAACAGCACAGCACTGGCATAAAAACAGACACCTAGACCAGTGTGAGGGAATACAGAACCTATGAATAAATCCATGTGTCTGTGGCCAATTGATTTTTGATAAAAGGACAAAGAATACACAATGGGGAAAGAAAACTCTCTTCAATAGATAATGTAGAGAAAAACTGACTATTCACATACAGAAGAATAAAATTGGATCGTTGTTTCACTCTTTATACCAACATCAAATAGCAATGGATGAAAGACTGAAATATAAACCTGAAACCATAAACCCGATGCAAGCAAAGATAGGAGAAAACCGTATGACAATGGCCTGAGCTATGATTTTCTGCAGGTGACCCCAAAAGTACAGGCAACAAAAGCAAAAACATACAAATGAGATTCCATAAAACTAAGACGCTTCTCTGCACAGCAGAAGAAACAGTAATAAAGAGACAACCCACAAATGGGAAGAGAGAATTTTTAAACCATACATCAGGTAAGGGTTTATATCAATAATATGTAAGGAACTCAACCCAGAAATGAGAAAGCAGGCTTACTAAATAAGCAAAGGACTTGAGTAGACATTTTCTAAAAACAGACATACAAAAAGCCAGGTTTTTATCAAAAATGTTGATAAAAGACAGCATTCCTAATTATCAGAGAAATACAAGTCAAAACCACAAAGATACCTCACAGATGTTACTGAGGCTATTATCAAAAAGATGTGGCCGGAAACGGTGGCTCACACCTGAAATCCCAGCACTTTGGGAATCTGAGGCAGGTGGGTCGCCTGAGGTCAGGAGTTCGAGACCAGCCTGGCCAACATGGTGAATCCCCGTCTCTATTAAAAATACAAAAAATTAGCTGGGCGTGGTGGCACACACCTGTAATTCCAGCTACTCGGGAGGCTGAGGCAGAAGAATTGCTTGAACCTGGGAGGTTGCAGTGAGCCAAGATCGTGCCACTGCCCTCCAGCCTGGGTGACAGAGCAAGACTCCATCTCAATAAATAAATTAAAAAAATAAAAATTAAAAAATGATGGAAGATAATTGTTGATTAGAATGTGGAGAAAACCCTTGTATACTGTTGGTAGGAATTGAAATTAGTACCACCATCTTGGAAAACAGTATGAAGCTTTTTTAAGACATTATAAATATATTTGTATTATGATTCATCAATGTCTCTTCTGGATATGTGTCTAAAGAACTTAAAATCAGTATGTTAAAGAGACATCTACAATTTCATGTTCATTGCAGCATTATTCATAATAGCTATGATTTAGAAACAACCTAAGTGTTCATCAACTGAAGAATGGATAAATAGGTGAAAAATTGAAACCCTTATACACTGCTGATGAGACTTGAAAACAGTCTGACAGTTCTTCAAAAGGATAAATACAGAATTACCACATGACTCAGTAAATTCACTCATATGTATACACCAAAAAAAAAAAAAATGCCTACACAAAAAGTAGCATACACGTATTTATAGCAACAAGAGGTAGGAAACAATAGAAGTGTACATGAATTGTGGAGTGGATTAATAAAATGTGGTGTGTCCATAAAATACAATAGTATTTGGCAATAAAAAAAAGGTATTAATACATGTTCCAAAAAGGGTGAACATGTTGAAAACATAAGTGAAAGCAGTGAGTCACATGTAACTATATATTACTATGATTCCATTTATATGAAATGTCTAGAATAGGCAAATCCTTCCAGAATAGGCAAATTCTTAGGAAGTAGATGGATGGTTGCCTAGGGCTGGGAGGAGTTTAAAGGAAGAGTGGGGAAAATGGGGGAAAGATTGCTAATGGGTGCAAAGTTTCTTTTAAGG